ACCCAATGGGACATACTATGTCCGTCCCCAAATCGAACGCTACACTATCGTATCCGCCGGCTCTTCCATGCTGCTGCCTCTTTCGCAGGATGGACACTGACGAAAATGATGCCAGAACCATGGCCGGAGAAGCGGCCACCATCGATAAAGCTACATAAAGGCGGGTGGAACCATGACAAGCGCGGCGATGAGGATCTTCAAAACTGCCAATTGTCAAAAACAAATGCCTATCAAACTCTGTAGGAGCAACATTGACTTCCACACCTGCCCGCCCTGGTTTCGAAGTTGCTCGAGGTAGCTCCGCCACGCGTGCATGAACTGGGCAACCTGGTCCCCTGTGGCTTCTTTGTGGGCTTTGAACTCCGATCTGCGTGGGTGCGAAAGACACAACAACAAGCAGGCGGCACCGGACGTAGTATACAGCAAGCAGAAACGTAAACCTCGGGGGCAAACGGGAACATCGGCAGCAGTAATCGCTGGGTTCCTTTTCCTTTTCAGTACTACGGGGCAAAAACGTGCAATTTTCGGCTGGGCCGGCGATGATGCCGTCGGAGTAGAAATCACGCTCCACCTGCCATCACACTTGAGCCTCCCACTGCTGTCACGTGACGGCTTCAAAGCTCCCCAACCCGCCCCTGGGCAAACGGTTCTACTTGTACTTCTTCTCTTCTGTGAATAATGGCTTCGCACGACGCTGCGTTTTCTGGGAGGTGTTGGTCCAAATCCCGGTAGCAACGCCAAGCAGCGGGTGGTGTGTCCGAACGTGCGTCATGCGGTTTTTGGCGCATTCGTGACCAAGGATCTGATTTGGTTTGCGCCACAATTACTCCTGGCGCTACTATCTCTCCTAATAGCGCAGCGTTTTTAAGCCACGAATACTCCTGGCGCCACTAGCATACCTTCTACCGCAGACCGCCGCGCTTGCCACGAACCCCACAGCGGAGGCCATAAAACACAACTACTGCTAGTTATGAGCTAAGCCCGAAAACTAGATATTACGCCGTGATTACGCGTTGCGCTGGGTTTTTCTACCACTTTGTCGACGAGCGACGCATCAAGGATATTCTGAACCGGCAAGGGCGGTGGTTATCGAAAGGGGGGCAAGCCATCAACGATTTCAATGGATGTCGGAGGCCCTAGCAATAATAAAAGGTCCAGAGGGCCCCGTAAACAACCGGGGCAGGACACCATCTGGGAAGTGGTTACACCTGTGTCCTGTAGCGGGTCTCAAGTGTGTCGAGAGAGAGGCCAATCATCCAGTGGAGAGAGAGTCGGAAGTAGGGCTGGGCAATGAGCCTAAAGAGCGGGCACGCCCGTACATGCGACAGGTGATTGGTATCACTTATTATCCGCTGGGTGTAGGTTGCTGCTACTGCAACAATCTGGATGGTTGATAATTCTAGTGTACGGATGCTGAGGGTGGATAGTGGTGGTATCCCCGGATTTTTCTTGCCCCCTTCCCCTCGTGGCTTTGAGCGAAGAAATTTTCCTGGAAGTTTCCTGTCAACTTGTACAGCAGTAGTGGAGAGGTTACAGCAATCAACGTGGTTATAACCGGCCGTGGCTCCCATCATCAGCTCACACACATTTAAACCTCACACCAACTTGCGTGGACCATGCAGACGGGACCATGACATCCTCTCTCGTGGTAGATACCAACGGATGGAAGCTTCTCAAACTTTGGCAACTCGTCAACAACGTAGCGTAGCAGAAGAAACACCGCACCTGACATATCGATCGCCAAGCTCACGGTGCTTCGGCGGCAGCGCAAAACGATGCTGACGAAGAATGTCCTTGTACAGACGCTTTACCACTGAGGCCCGGACGACATGGGATGCCATCGTTACGTGCGTGGAGTCGGAGGTTCGACCGCTGTGTGTGAGTGTGTGCGGTGTAACCTCCGAAAGGCGTTCCAATGGGGGGACAGGGGTTCTGCGGTAGAACCGGTGGAATCGAAGGAACCAAGTCTGTCTCTGGGGATCTGGGGGCAATGCAACAGTTCCAGATGTGTCCGGCCGTACACGCTCCGCATGTCGAATCGAGCTGATTCTGATGTTGACTATGCATACAGCGTGCGAGCTTGCTCCAGTTTCTTGTTTTGTAACAGTTTGTCGCCACCACACCATGTAGCACAATAGATCGATAGATTCCGTACATAGCATTGGATAAAGCGTAGTTAATGACACATAGTCTAGCTATAATCGGGGAACTAATCTAATCGCGCGAAAGAATGGGCGGTGTCAGTAGCTAGGATGCGGTTTTTCGCACCAATCGCTTTATCATGATCTACAACCTGCCCGTAGTGTTCGAACTTCGTTGCTTGATTTTCTTTGTGACCTTGTTTCACATGTTTGATGATGATGAGTGGCACGGAACAAGACCGCTAAATAAAACGAAAGAGGGACCAAGTGAACCGAGAAAGCAAATAACCCGTTCGTTAAATAGAGTAGAATGAAAATAAATGCATAGAACCTTGATGGATGCACCGACAAAGTGACATCATCGCGGCGAAGGTTTGGCACTTCCTACATAATGCCATTTTTCTTCGTGCTGTAACAGAGTTCGCGCCACCCTATTATAGTTACAAGATTTCAAAAGAAGAACCGAAATATCACAACAGGTACGTGCGTACGTGGTGCTCGATTCCAGGAGAGTATGCATGGGAAAAGAAGAACCGCAACTACAAATAACGAGGTGTGTGTGTCCGGCAGGCTGAGGTGCGGTATACTTCGAAGAAGATGAAAAAAAAGGGCTGGTTTTCTCTTCACCGTCTATATTTTCTTCAGGTTCTTTCGGTGAAACTTTCGGTCCGTTTGGAACGGGCCTGAGAACGCCGTTTCTGGTGCTGTGTGTGATCCCTACGCATACGCATGTCGATCCCTGGGAGGGGGGTACCATATCTTAAGCCATATCCCTAAGGCGAAGGTTGTGCCCAAGGCTAACTCAGAGTAAGGGTAACCGCCCTGTCCGCAACCCATTCATTGGTGTTTCACCATATCGCGCCCTGACCAACACAATATTGGCAAAATAAAATACTCTTCTACTATTCGTTCGCTCCGGCCCGAGCAAACAGACAGGACGACGACGACGGGCAGCAGCAGCGGTAAGGGTCGTCGTACACCATCAGACAAGGACCGTTCACGAACACAAATAAATCGCCGTGCAGTTAGTGCCCAACGTTGGTCTGCGACGAAAACAAAAACACACACCCACACACAAAACCAAACAACAGAGTTTGGTGTCGATTACATACGAATACGGAAAGCACACCAAACACAACACCCATCATGCAACAAAACCGTTTTTTTTTTTACAGCGGGCGTCCTAAGGCCACCTCCGCGAGCAGGGCCGGTAACTGGCAACTGACCACCCTAACGTTCGAGTCCATACTACGGCAATAGCAAGTGGTCCACCATCTAGGGGGTCTTGGAACAACGACGCAAGCAAGCCCATATCCTACACAACCTTTGACAACAGGTAAGGTAACGAATGTAGCACAGATAAAGGCTAAACCTCCACCGTGAACAATACGCCACTCTGGATTGTTCTACAAGAATATATCCCGATGTTCGGCAACGCAGTCGACAAGGTATTTCGGTCCTCCAAACGTGTTGCTCCTGCGGGCTGACTTCTTGCATATTGCATGTGAAGGGACAGGGTGAGAAAGAAAAAGCGAGAGGAGTGCTATCATACAACGACACTACCGGCTTGCGCGCACGACATCATCGATAAAAAAAAAACAGCAGTGAAACTGACAAAAGGGGGGAAGGAAAAAAAACAAGCATACAACAGAAAAATGACCCCAAACCATTCTCGACAGACCCTGCACAACGGCGCTATACTCTAAGATGACCCATCATAACAGCAGTCTTCGTCTATTTCGCCACCTACCACTCTTCTCCAACAGGTATTCGCACCTACTTTCCTACTTTCAAGACAGGAAGTTAGCTGGAAATCAAAACTCTCTATATGGAAACGGCATCGGGTCCCCGCGCGTCAGCTCCCAGGGCTTGTTTCTCCCCACAAACGGCACCAGTCCCGATCGAAGACCACCCGCTACGTCGCCCCTTACCCCGCCCTTGTCGGACACGAGCACCGCACAAACCCTACTGTAGATGTGCCTCCAACGGGTGTCGAAACGAATGGCGCTGTTATAGTGTTGTGGTGTGCTTCTATCGGGAGGACGGCGCGTGTCTCGACAGAGATTCGCGTGTGGGCAAGGGAAGGGTCACACCGCCGTCAAGGAAAAAGCGCACACACGAATAATAAGTCGCGTTTCCCCCCCTGGCCCAAAAAACGCCTCCAGACGACACCGCGGTATCTGATGGACCACTCCAGCCGGCGGTATGTATCCTCGTCTATGTACTATTAATACTTTGCGGTCGCGTTTCTGCCTGCTCCCCCTCCTCCTCCCCCCCCACGCCGTGCTCCGGCTGGTCATCATCCCCATTCCCATCCCCATCCCCATCGCCGTTGTTGTCGCCGCTGTCCCGATCATCGTCATCCCCCTCTGGCTTCTGACGCTTTGCTGGTGGCTCGGAGGGTCTGCTGATTGCTGGTGGCTCGGGGGTTCTGCTGACGAAACCGAGAAGGGGCGGGGGGGGAGTGAAATCAGACCTGGGAGAAGCATGTGGGTGGGGCTTTTGAGCGTGCTTGTGAGGGTCATTTTCTGTTCTCCCTCTTTAGGTCCTGCCATTCCATCGTCACCATTGATGCCCACCTACCCCTGTGACTTCTATTCTCTCATGAGGATTCCTCTCTCCTAAGACTGCTCGTTATCTCTCCGTGCGTGCTGTCCGCCTCCCTATGCCGACACTAGTAGGGTCCACCCGCCCCTCTCGCCAAGTGTGCACACAAACCAAAAACACCCCCCCCTTGAAAACAGAACAAAGAGACAGGGGCACAACAAAACGAAGCATGCAGTAACAGGGACGACCCACTGAATCCACACAGAACATTGCGCTCACACACACACTGCTCAAGCAAAACGAAATTTTGAAATATTGCGTGCGCCAAGTGGGTCAAATCAACCCCCGTGTGCCCTTTCTCCAACGAAAAAGAAAAACGCCCTCTTCATCGTTCAAAGAAAACAAAATAGAATTCATACATACAGCGCCACCGTCTAAGAACATGGCAAGTGTAGGACGACGAGGCTCAAATCTGCCGACAAGCAAAAGCTTGAAGTCCCGCTGGCAATCTCTTTGTGAGGCATGAAGCGTACTTATGCTAACCACACCGCAGCGACAACAACATTGATGTGGAACGCCTACGCCTGAACACGACGACGGGGGCTCTGTGCTCAAAATACATATTACAGCAAAAAAATAGTGGCGCTATTTAACCCTAGCAGTGACATAGCTCCAGTATTGTCACCCTGCGACCAAGAAAACGAATATGTAAATCAAACGACATGTTTTACGAAAGTTTACGACGAAACGTTCCCGACGCCGCCGTTACCGGCACCCCCACTGCTGTTTTTGCTGCGGAGTACAGGCGAGCTTTGAATATGTATGACACCTTAGGTACGGTCGTTTCGTGGAGTGCATCATGAGAGAACAGACCAATTCTTTGAGCAGAGCACACGTGTCCTACCTTTTCAAATAAAAAAACAGAGCATCACACACACACACACACACACACACATCAACAGCTGTTCCTCCTATTACCAAGGGATATATTGTACATACCTCCAGCTCCCAGTCGTCTTCCCGCTCAGAGCCAGCAGCAGGTCTCCGGCTCCATCCGCATCGGCGGCGGCGGCGGGGCTGCTGCCGTCTTCTCCCCCGCTACCTCCGCCTCCTCCCGCCGCCGCCGCTCCTACTTCCACCCCGACCCCTCCCGCCGCTGAGATTCCTTCCGTTCCCCCCGCCGCCGCTGCTCCGACTCCGCCAGGGCGCCACGCCCCGCCAACACCACCGCCGCTGCCGTCGAGCCTCGCCGGTTGGCCCTTCACCCCTACCGCTCCACCGCCATTACTAGAAGGGCCGCCACCGCCGCCAGAGAAAGCGGCAGCAGCAGCAGCAGAAGCAGCAGCAGCAGCGGGAGCAGGGAAGGCGGAGGGGCGGAAGGCGGAAGCGATGATGGGCAGCTGCTGCTGCTGCTGCTGCTGCTGCTGCTGCTGCAGCGGTGGTGTTGTCGGTGGTGGTGGTGACGGGCGAGGAGGAGGAGGAAGAGCCGGCGCGCGGGTGCTACGAAACTTGGCCAGCCGTGTGCGCACCATTCCAACTTGCGAGTGTCGTTGACAAAACACGGGCACGGCGGAGCCGGGGGCGCCGTAGGTCGGCGGGTGCTCGCAACCCCGGTGGCCGCACCTCTTGATTCGGACGTCGATCATCCCGGGCTCCGCGTGTCGCTGGCACAGCTCGGGCTTTGCGGAGCTGCCCTCGAAGCCGTGGCTTGGTCGGATCGTGCAACCGCGAGTCCCGCACCTCTTGTTGCAGACGTCCACCATATGGGGATCCGCGTGCCGAGCACAGAACACCGCCCTGTTGCTCCCCTCCACGCCGTAGCTGGGCCACGTGTTACACCCCTGGCGGCCGCACCTCTTGCTGCGGACATCGACCATATTGGCCAGCGCGTGCCGCGTGCAGTACTCCGCCTTCTTGGTGCCGTCGACGCCGTAGCTTGGCCTGGTGGTGCAACCTTGGTGGTTACACCTCTTGGAGCGGACGTTCACCATCCCCGCTGCCGCATGTGTGGCACAGAACTGCGCCTTGGTAGTCCCGTTGATGCCATACGAAGGCCGCGTGGTGCAACCGGCGTGGCCGCACCGCTTGCTCCTCACATCGATCATATTGTCCTCTGCGTGCTGCGCACAGTACTCGGCCTTGGTGCTCCCGTACTTGCCATAGCTTGGACGCTTCACGCAGCCCTTTCGACAGCACTCCTTCACCATCCTCCGCTATGTATGTCTCGGGGAAATCTTGCAGGACACACTCCTGCACTCTTTAGTCGTCGCCTCCCTCTCTCGCTTTCCGCTTCTCTCCTGCTGAGATCGTGCCTGTCGAGCTTAGTCTCTCTGCCAAACCCGATCATCCAACCATGCGATGTACCCACATCAAGTGTCAAGTGCAAGTCAAGTGCAAGTGGGGGGGTCTACAGACAATTTTTCGATGTGTCGCAGGTACCTTCGTGCTTTCAGCTGCGTGCACCCCAGGTGCGCCGAGCATGTTGTGCATGTTGTGTGGATGCAGCGTGTGTTCATCGGTCTTGTCCGGGATTCTGTGTTGTATCATATGTTAGTTTTTTCGCTGCACTCCCTCGCCCCCGGGGACGTGGTGGACTTAACGGCGTCTTTGTCTGCTCGAAGATATTCACTCCATCCTTTTTCGAAAAAAAAATTAAAGATCTTCTCTGTTCTGCCGGATCCCGCAAGGATTTCAAGATTTCAAGACAGAGACCAGACGTAGAGGTCAAAATGAGATTATGGATCATGGAATTACTGTAGGTGTTTCGAGGCAGGGGGTGGAAACTTCGGTGTCGGGAATGCTGTTTGCGGATGATTTTGTTGGGATGTCTGACACCCCTGAGGGACTTCAACAAACTGGAGGTTTGTCGCAGCAGCGAAGGAATTAATTTGCTTATTATTGATGAAGTACTTGGCAGTCTACAACTAACTCCGTGCCGTCATGGTTGCAACGAGGACAGGAAAAAACCAGTACAGTATAGATGAAAGTGGGGGGTCGAGGAGCTTTAGTATGCACAAGGACACGTAATCTCGGAGTGAGTAGAGATCGCAGAAGACTGCTCGTGGAATACACACATACATACTACTGTTACGTGTCCAAGGTAGCGGGAAAAAAGGGCAAAGAAAGCACGATGAGGGAAGCTGTGCAACCAATCCTCGAAAACAAACCGGTGCACGTCGATACACGCATCAAGAGGCAGTGTAATCCTACTGCCGCTAGAGTACACCGGACAAGTACTTGGGAAAGGAAGAAGAAGGTAGTCAAAGAGCTCGAGGCGGCGCAGATGAAAGCATCAGCGAAATCGTCTTGTAGCTACACGGACGGACGAACAGGGAGGAGGAGATGTATGAGGCCATATGGAATAGCCAGGAGAACACGGTAGCTGTGCTGGGGCATAAGTAGTGGGTTGAATAGGCGGCAAGTGATATCGATAGGATATATAGACTAGGGGAGAGTTTTTGAGCCACCATTGGCGAAGTAGGAAGGAACGATTGGCCATTGGTGATCGGTCCTTGGAACAATGCTCCGTGTTCTCGAGGACGCGTGCTCGAATATCTAACCGCTACATTAAGGCTTGCAAAACATGAGAGTACGCCCCCCCCCCCCCCCTCCCTCCAACACATTGAAGTAGCGTTTTCGGGCGTTAATCACCTTCATCAAGAGAGCTTTAATGTACTACACCTTCTGATCGAGTGGCACAAAGCATAGTATTACTTTGGTGCACCAGGGGACGCGAGTCACTCGCCACGCGCTAATCGTAGGGCTACGTACCAGAGAGAATATACATGTCAATGTATTTTTTCCGAGGTAAGAATGGTGCAAACCCATCTACACCCTACACCAAAACAAGCTGCATCGTCTCGCTCTTGGTTTGTTACCTCACAGGGGCCACGAGCACCTTGCCTCGGACACAACAAAGGTGTTGCTGCACTTCAATACAATGAATGGCTGCCCCCTGTACAAATGGGATTGGCTGCTGCCCGCACCAGGCTGCTCTTGTTTGATTAGTCTAGATGAAAACATCACGCACAAAAAAAACGGTGCCGCTGGAGCACACTGCCTTCTTCAAGACGGCGATGAAATCTCGAATGATATTGACAGATGGATGCGAGCAAGGTATTCTGCCTCTCCCCGGCCTACCACCGCCATCAAGAAGAACAGTCTCTCATCTTGACTCAGGATTAATCTAATCTCTGAAAAGAAGCGCGCCGAACACCGCCGAGCAACATCAACAAATCAGCACCACCAAACCTTCCCGCAACCGGCACCAGTTGCACCACGCGAACAGATTTTCCCTCTCCGCCCTCTCTGCAGTCTATGGCTGCCTTGTCGGCGCAATCCCCAGGTATACCCCCCACCCTGCGTGTTCTTTAGTCGTGAGGCCCAACTTCAACTGGTCGTGCAAGGCAACGAGCACTCACCACCCCGCCCCCACGCGCACGGCAGTTGACTCTTGCGGCAATCACCATCACCATCATCACTATCTTCGCGACAACCACCACCGTCATCATCAGTATCTCCGGCGGTTGACTCTTGCAAGGAATCACCCCCACCATCATCACTACTGTATCTCCGGCGGTTGAATTTTGCGGCAATCACCACCACCACCATCACTAACTTTGCGACAACCACCACCGCCATCATCAGTATCTCCGGCGGTTGGTTTTTACAAGGAACCACCCCCACCACCATCACTACTGCATCTCCGGCGGTTGACTTGTGCGGCAACCACCACCACCACCATCACTTCATATCTTCGGCAGTTGACTTTACGGCAATCACTACCATCGCCATCATCAGTATCTCCGGCGGTTGACTTTTACAAGGAATCAGCATCACCACCATCACTATCTCCGGTAGCTGAATTTTGCGGCAATCACCATCACCAGCATCGCTTCTTCCCTCAATTTGATTTCATTTCCCGATGCAAAAGTCTCTGAAGATAACGTCCAGCAGCTCTTCCACTCCGACGGCCCCCGTGATGCGCCCGAGTTCCGAGCTCGCGATCCGAAGCTCCTCCGCCGCCAGGTCCAGCGGCATCTGCGGCCGCTGAGCCGCGCGCAGCGCCAGCAGGCACGCTTCCACGTGCTGTCGATGCCGACGCCTGGTACATCCGTATACAGAAGAACGGGCCCGGAGATAAGAAAGGGTCAAGGCTTAGTTTCTTACTTCATCCCCACCGCTTTCGAGCACACACAGGTCAAGAGTCTAGTCCAGGATCCACCGCTAAGCTAGCTGTGTTAACCATGTTTCAAACATTTTTTATCCTCTGTTTCTTAACGAAAAAAACTTTACCTCGGGCCCATTCTATATCGGTGAGGGGAACGGGGCCGGGGCCGGGGCCGGGGCCGGAATGAGGGCAGTGGCTTTCTACTCGTAGGTGGTTTTTCTGGCCGCCGTTGATAACTTCACCGCAATTGGTTTCCTGGAAAAGCGCTACTGTACGAACAAACCGTAGAGTCAACAAAAAGTGAAGCGTGTTTGTCTATCTTGGCACATGCCTTCATGCCTTCGCCACTGGACGAACTGCCGCTCACCCTTCTCGAAATGATGTGTGCGCCAATAGAATACTTCGCCTATTAATAGGAGTCTTGCGCGTCCCCCCCCCCCCCTCGTCTGTCCACCGTTGATCACGAAAAATGCAACCCTGACAAGTCCTACTGTACGTGGAGACAAAAGCACCTCGAGCAAGCAAAATATATTGCTTGAGGTGTGGAATGCACGAGGAAGAAAAGACCTTGACACCGAAAACACACAGCGGAAACATTAAACAAAGTGGACGTTTTTCGTTCGATGCTTCATTTCGCCGCTGAGCCCCAGGAGAGGCGCGCAGTAAACAGCGAGGATGGCTTCATCTTGTCCCCTCTGCTACTCCTGCCAGTTGGTGCAGTACTCTTCAAATGCTCACGGCACTGAGTATAGTCGGTCGCAAGCGAGCTGACTTTCCGATTGTCTGCCGCGCAAAATGGACACTTGATCTTCGCGGTACAATACTGTAGTTCGATTGAGTTTCAACCGTATTACAACCAGTCCTAAACTAGCCGATGCTGTGAAGCAGCCGTGAGCTCCATCAGAAAACTTGGCAAAGCCGCCGCTGCTGATCAAAATACAAGGGAAATTATACCCCTTCACGAACTGCGTACGCCTGACGTGACGGCACACACACGGTGCTGACAAGCGAAAAACACTGCGACTGACAACACAAGCTACGGCAAACGTCTCGCAACAAAACAGAAAAATGCAAAGAAGGGTGTGTTCTAGTGAACAGCTGCTCGTATTTTCAACAAAAGCAGCGAGTAGCACAGAAAAAATTATCCCTTGGCCACACTCCGTGAAGCAAATATCAAGGCATCATGTCCATCCCAGGGCACCTGATCAGCCGGAGTCAAGTGATATACTCGCTCGAAACTGTCCAAAGTCATGCATGACATCGGTGACCCCGGGTCGTTGATGACCAACATGGCCCCGGACAGTTTCATGCGAGAAATTTTTCATTAGGCCCCGGCGGTTGAAGTGTCATGGGATGGGGGGTCGCCGATATCCTGCATGGCTCTGGGCAGTTCCATGCGAGTATTTATCATTCGGCTCCGGCGGTTGAAGTGTCCTGGGATGGACATGACGCCTTGGTATTTGCTTCATCAGTGTGGTCAAGGCTTGTACTTTTCTCCGTGGCGAAGTGATAAATACCTTCTTCAGGATTGTTGCATCGCAGGAGGAGATTGATCTCCCTCGTCACCATTTGTATACAAGCCGAAATCAAACCATTGCCTCACCAAGAAATCGGAGAGAATGTATTGCATCTGCCATCAAACCATCAGGCTAGTCAGCCCCAGACCTCACCGCCAAGACATTAGTAAGAGATGTATAGAAGCCGAAATCAAACCGCCAATAGTTTTGGCTTCTACATGCGATGATTAGTCAAGAATGGTTTGATTTCAGCTTCAACAAGAACTCAGTCGCGGGTTCCAAACCCCTATTGCTGCACGTGGGGGTGGTTGTCGGTTCAAAAGGCGGTTCTTGCATCCGTAAGCACCAAGCAAACTGCCGCTCAAGACCTAGCAAAACCGCCCGTAGCAGAAGCCCTTCCCTCGCCGCAGGCATCCTATCAAGGAAGAGCGATACCCGCACAGAGAGGCTGTTCGTAGCTGAAGCGGCACATATCGGCGCCGAAAAGCCACCAAGCAAGGCACACTTCTGCCAAAAAAAC